GGATTTGGGTGTCAGACCCCAGGGATTTGGGTGTTTCTCTGCCAAGAAATCCCCAATCATCTCATGGGAGTGTGTGCAGGGAGCTTTGGTGTTGCTGTCAGTGCCTTTTTACTCCTTCAAAGAACCTGCCATGGAACTCCAGCCATCTGCTGGATGCTGGTGATGTCCTGGCCATACAAATGGGCCCATTTCATCCCCTTTAGCCTGGAAATCATTGTAATCCACAAATAGGTGGTGTTTAGAAATAAACATTTTCAAGACACAACTAATGCTCTGCACAGTGAGACGTTCTTCACGTTGCTTTTGAGACACACTCAGTTCACCTTCCCACGCTTTTAAAAATACTGAAGTAAATCAAATATTTTGATACTCATTTTAAAAAAGGAATATCAGCTGAAATGAGCTATTTAAATTGCAGATTTACATTTTGTAATGGTTAACATATATGGTGACATTTCAAAACTTACTACTTTGTGATTAGAAGGATGCTGAGTTTTTCAAGCACGAGGGTGACTGTGCTTGGAGGTTGCTTTATATAGCATTAAAAAAAATCATTCTTAGTGAACAGATTATGGAAATAGATTCATTCCCGTGCTTTTATTTCAATGAATGTTGCTAGTAGTACAACACATTGAAGGGAATTAATTTTGTTAGGAGCTTTTCACACCAGCATTTTTTTTTTTCTGACCCAAGAGCAATTTGCACAGATTCTGCTACTCCTTTAGCAAACTGAAAAATTAGATCTGTGCTAACACCTTCTTTTTTTGGACCTTATACAACCACTGTTAAAACTAAAATCTTATTTGCCATCAGGTGAAACTACTTTTGGCTCTGCCTTTCGGATGTGATGAGCTTCATTCCTTTGGAGAGTTTGTGTAGTAATTCTGTTTTACACAAAACACTCGGCATAGAATATTTTTATCCTTAAAATTCCTCACTGTAATTGCCTTTGACAATGGCAGAGTGTTTCTCCACCCGTTCTTTGAAGAAAGGATAATCCATTTAGTTGTGGTTCTTTTCACAGAAGGTTTAAAAAATATTTGTATTGATGCTGAGGTTAAACTTTTAGTTTGTTTTTCCAGTACGTGAGTAGAAGTTTCAGTGCCTCGACACTGGTGTGCACTCATTCATTTTTGTTGTCTTGCTAAATTGCCTACATGATCACATTAAAAGCAAAAGCAACAGGGCATGTAGTACACAGATAATGAGAATATTATTTATTCCTACATTTGCTGTCATATTCCTTGGCTGTTCTGCACCATTTTCTCTCTTCACATCATTTGGTGTGCGCTCTTTTTTTTTTTTGGCTCGTTTTCTCCTTGGGAATACTCTCGCTGTCTAGGAAAGACACATGAAAAATGGGATGAAATGGAGTTAGTGGCTTAAAACATTACATGTTCTTTGAAGCATGCTGCAAGACTGACTTATGCAATGCAACCACGATTACATAATGCAAATGATTATAAAAATAAATATATCCTGGCCAATATGTGTCCGTGACGTGTTGGTAACCAATGACACCCCACTAAAAGGTAAATGGTCACTGCTACATGTTATCCTCTAGGGCCTCATGTTTGGGTTGGCTGAA